GATTTAAAGTTCTTGTCATACAAATCTTCCACTTGTTTGGTTAAAGTTACTCCAAGATATTTTATCCTACTTGTGACTAATGTGAAGAATGATGTTTCTCTGATTTCTCTCTCGGCCCATTTATCATCTGTGTAAAAGAGGGCTACTGATTTTTTTTGAGTTAATCTTGTATCCTGCTACATTAATGAAAGTGTTTATGAGTTGTAGAAGTTCCTTGGTAGAATTTTTGGGGTTGCTTATGTAAACTATCATATCATCAGCAAATAGTGAGAATTTGACTTCTTTCTTTCTGATTTGTATCCCCTTTATCTCCTTTGGTTGTCTTATTGTTCTAGCTAGGACCTTAAGAACTATATTGAATAGTTATGAAGAGAGTGGACAACCTTGTCTTGTTTCTGATTTCAGTGGGATCGCTGTGAGTTTCTCTCCATTTAGTTTGATGTTGGCTTTTGGCTTGCTGTATATTGCCTTTATTATGTTTAGATATGTTCCTTGTATCCCTGCTCTCTCCAAGACCTTTATCATGAAGAGATCCAACAAATTCTTAAAACACACTGGGATGTGTCACCCAATAGTTGGCAGAATAATCAATAAGACCTGACCACAGGGAAGGCTCTTCATTTGGTCAGTGTGGCTCTACCTAACAATAGAGTTAGGCATAGTGGTTATCCCTTAGACACAACAGGACTACTCTATAGGAAAGGATACTGAAAAATGCCAGAACAAAAACGGAAAACAGGCAATCAAATACTTCAAATTTTCTGTCAGTGTACTTGGACCATCATGTAAAATGTTCATAAGGATATAAGAGTCAGTGCTTATACTAGTGATTTGCCTAAATTTTTCTTGGCTGTGAAATGAACAGTAGGTCAAGGTCTGATCTGTATCCTTTGCTACCTTTTCTTCCAAGAGTTCTCAGCTTGATATTTTAGCTGGTATATCTTCCTTTACAAACATTAAAGATCTTTTTGTCTCGTGTATAGAAAGTAAGATTCACCCAAAGGGCCCTACAGCCGCTAATTTTACTAGCAACTTCCCTAGGTCTAACGATAAGTAAATGGGCAGCATTCATTTTTGATGTTTCATTGTAGGCATTTTGTGTAACTGTTGAAGACAGGCCTGGCATACCCTTGTTTAATGGCAGTTCCCCTGGGTAGCAGGTATTTCTGTATTTCCTGTAGCACGAGTTGGTGTGCCTCATTCTTTAGACTCCTACATGCTGAGGTTATAGGAGTGTGCTATGATGCCTGGATTGTTTGTTGTTGTTATTGTTTGGTTTTCAGCAGATTATTATTGCTAAGCAACTCCCACTTCCAACTTTTAGACAATGGTTTGTTTCCATTTTTTTTTTTTAGTTGTCTACTCAGGGCCTTGTGAATGCTGTACACACTCCCCTCCAAAAGGTCTCAGCATTGAGTTTATCAGAATGCAGCCACACTTGTCAAGATCCAGATTCCAGAGCCTTACCCCAGTTTCCTGATTGACTAGTCAAGTATAAACATAGGTCTGGTGAGAGCCCATGATTTGCATTTCTGATAAGTTCCCTGAACTTTCAAATATATTAACCATAAAATGTAATGTTGAAGGAGGTGATGAATAATTTTATGGGGAAAATTATTTAAAATAAGATGGCTTTGAAAAATAGTCCTTTCATAAAAATGTCAGTAACATGATTATTTGAGGCAGGTAACAGACTGACAATTTTGCTAGCTGGGCCTGTGGGCACAGACCTGTAACTTCAGTCATTGAGAGGGTCACACAGGGACACAAGTTCGAGGTCTACCTGATAGACGATAGGCTGTGTTCAAAACAAGCTAGATAATTTAGTGAGATGGTCTCAGAAATTAAAAAAAAAAACTACAAAGGAAGGCTAGGGATGTGCCTCAGTGATAGTACACTTGCTGTGTGTGAGGTCCTAGGTTCAATTCCTGGTGTTCGTGCGCACACTTGCATGCAACACACACATATACCACACACACCACACAAGATAATTATTTAGCTTCCATTATTTTTTAATGTTTGGATACCCAATAAAAAAATTTTAAATGGCCTGGCAGTGGTGACACACGCCTTTAATCCCAGCACTTGGGAGGCAAAGGCAGGCAGATCTTTGTGAGTTAGAGGCCAGCCTGGTCTATAAGAGCTAGTTCTAGGACAGGCCTCAAAGCTACAGAGAAACCCTGTCTTGAAAAAAACAACAACAACAACAAAAATTTTAAATGTGCCTTAATAACACCCATTTAAAAAATATAGTAAGCTGGGCAGTGGGGGCATACACATTCTTGTGCACATGGCAAGAAACAAGATATTATTGGAAAATGTAATATTACATGACACACAGGGTTTACAGATTTGGAATACGATACATATAAACAGTTTACTTCAATATATTGCTTTTCCTTGTCCCAAAGAAAAATATATCCTAAGATTTACGATACTACTTTACGAATAAAAAACCCAGGATAGCCAAAATAATCCTGTACAATAAAGGTTCTGGAGGCATCACAATCCCTGACTTCAAACTCTACTACAGAGCTACAGTACCGAAAACAGCCTGATATTGGAATAAAAACACACAGGAAGACCAATGGAACCGAATAGAAGACCCGGATATCAATCCACACACCTTCGAACACCTGATTCTTGACAAAGAAGCAAAAAATATAAAATGGAAAAAAAGAAAGTATATTTAACAAATGGGGCTGGCATAACTGGATATCAACATGTAGACAAATGAAAACAGATTCTTATTTATCACCATGCACAAAACTCAAGTCCAAATGGATCAAAGACCTCAACATAAAACCAACCACATTGAACCTCATAGAAGAGAAGTGGGAAGTACACTTGAACACATTGGCACAGGAACCACTTCCTAAATATAACCCCAGTAGCACGTAGCGCACAGACACTGAGAGAAACAATTAATAAATGGAACCTCCTGAAACTGAAAAGCTTCTGTAAAGCAAAGGACATGGTCAACAAGACAAAATGACAGCCTACAGAATGGGAAAAGATCTTCACCAACCCTATATCAGACAGAGGTCTGATCTCCAACATATACAAAGAACTCAAGAAACTGGTCATCAAAAGAACAAATAATCCAATAAAAAAAATGGAGTACAGACCTAAACAGAGAATTCTCAACAGAGGAATCTAAAATGGCTGAAAGACACTTAAGAAAATGCTCAACATTCTTAGTCATCACAGAAATGCAAATCAAAACAACTCTGAGATTCCATTTTACACCTGTAAGAATGGCCAAGATCAAAAACACAGATGACAACTTATGCTGGAGAGGTTGTGGGGTAAAGGGAACACTTCTGCATTGCTGGTGGAAGTGCAAGCTGGTACAGCCCCTTTGGATGTCAGTGTGGCGATTTCTCAGAAAATTAGGAAACAACCTACCTTAAAACTCAGCAATACCACTTTTGGGTATATATCCAAAGGATGCTCAATTGTGCATACAAGGACATGTACTCAAATATATTCATAGCAGTGTTGTTTGTCATAGCCAGAATCTGGAAACAACCTAAATGCCCCTCGACTGAAGAATGGATAAGGAAAATATGGTACATTTACACAGTGGAGTACTACACAGCAGAAAAAAATAATGACATCTTGAAATTTGCAGGCAAGTGGATGGATCTATAAAACATCATTTTGAGTGAGGTAACCCAGGCCCAGAAAGACAATTATCACATGTACTCACTCATAAGTGGTTTTTAAACATAAAGCAAAGAAAACCAGCCTACAAATCACATTCCTAGAGAACCTAGACAACAATGAGGGCCCTAAGAGAGGCGTACATGTATCTAATCTACATGGGAAATAGAAAAAGACAAGATCTCTTGAGTAAATTGGGAGCATGGGTACCATGAGAAAGGGTTGAAGGGGAGGGGAGAGGCAAACAGGGGTGCAGAGATGTAGAGCTCAATAAAAATCAATTAAAAAAAAGAATTTGTTAGTTTGTTTGTTTATTTTTTCAAGAAAGGGTTTCTCTGTAGCTTTGGAGCCTGTCCTGGAACTAGTTCTTGTAGACCAGGCTGACTTCAAACTCAGAGATCCACCTGCCTCTGCCTCCCAAGTGCTGGGATTAAAGTAGTACTTAGGAGGCCAATACAGAAGGCTCACCTTGATTTCAAGGCTAGCTTGTTCTATGTAGTGAGTTCATGGTTAGCCTGGGCTGTATTGTGAGACCTTGTCTTAAAAAAAGAAAGAAAGAGAGAGAGAGAGACAGACAGACAGAGACAGAGACAGACCGAGACAGACAGAGAAAGTCAGTCTTGAAGAAACAATCTAATAATAACAAAATAATATTTTCCTTTTAAGATATGTTTTAAGAATATTCCTTTGTTTTTATTTTCTGTGTGCCTTTGTCTGCATTATGTATGTGTATCGCATGTGTGCCAGTACCCTTGGAAGCCAGACGAGAGTACCAAATCCTCTGGAGCACAAGCAGTTTTGAGCCACCCCATGTAGATGCTGGGAACTGACCACAAACCCTCTACAGGAGGTGTTCTTAACTGCTGAGCCATCCTTTCCAGCTCCTAAAATAATCTTTTTGAAAACATATTTAAAATAAAAAATTTCCGAGAAACAAGAGACTACTCCTTCCCGTTAGGTACATGTTGCTATTTTCCTTTGTTGATATTGTGTCCCACTGCGCTCCTAAACAGTTTATAGTAAAACAAATGTTATCCATTAGGATAATTTGACATCACTGATAGAAATTATTTCTGGCAAAAATTATTTCCTATTGCCACTGAAATTCGGTTATCAGAAATTGTAATCCTATCAAGTAATTTATTGATTTTCATACTTCCCATTTCCATTGATTATTTTTCTACAGAGGCAAACTAGTAACGGCATGAATTATCTGAAGAGAAGAGTAGTGATGAAGAATGTATGACAATGGACCTGGCATTTCCCTTTCCCCAACAATAGATGATGCAACTAGATAAAACTTGGGTTTAAAAGGTTGTTTCTTCCCTCCACAGCTGTAAGAAGTAGACCGATCACGTGACTTCCTGCAGCGCGAGCCATGGCACTACCATTCCGGAAGGACTTAGGGGAGTATAAGGACCTGGATGAAGATGAGCTCCTTGGCAATCTGTCAGAAACAGAGCTGAAACAGCTTGAAACTGTCCTGGATGATCTCGACCCCGAGGTTGGTGCTAGCCGGAGAAGAGATAAGCAATAACTTTTCAGACTGCCAGCTTGCTTTCTCGTGGCTCTCCCCGTCCCCTTCACCCACTTTCTATCCAAATAAACTAGCATTTTTCTTCTTCAGGACCCCACATCTACCTCCATGTCTTATGACACAGATATTCTAAACTATCATTAAACATCTACACAATTTTTTTTCTCTACTACAATCTTGTCTCTGTGCAATTGAAAGTAGTAATAGCTAATTAGCTCTTTAGTCTATAATAATCTGTTTCTCTTCAGAGTTTCTGTACAAGGCTGGTACTAGTATACTGTGCCTCTAAAATGTTCTTAATGACTTAAACCTAATTATAATGGTTCTTGAGAAAGGTTGACCAAGTGGCATAAATTATTAGCTTGGAAGATGTAGATCTTAACACAGATGCTTCTTAAAACAATGTTCTTATCTGCCTGATAAACCCATCCTAGACTGCAAATACTATACATTAAAGTGCACTTAATATCCCTAGCCAACTAACATCATAATTTTGTCTAGCCTGTCTGAAATGTGCTCAGAACATTTAAATAAGCCTACATTTGAACAAAACCATCTAATGTAAAACCTAATTTGTAATAAAGTATTGAATACATGATGTAAGTTGTGTGCTATACTGAAAATGAAAATCAAAACGATTGTGTGGGTGCACTTCTACACCATCTTAGAGTTGAACCATTATTAAGTCAGGGACATTGTAGATGTACCCTTGTCTGTATTTGCCAAGTGGTTGTTATTTGTCTTATATGCTACAAAGCTAATGTGGAATCCTTTACCTTTGAAGTGTGACTCAAGGAGGAGCAGGTAGAAGGAAGAACCACAAGGTAGTGGTTATCTGCCATGCTTTACCTATCTTGTTTCTTAAAAGGCAGTGGCTTTATATGCCCTTTAAGAATTGAGGTATATGAGCTTTTAGGGAAAGGAGAGGTACTGGATATTAGGGCATAAAGCAACCTAAAATGTGCTTTATAAAATTGTTTTTGTTGCTAAGTGGTGTGTCCATACCATAGGGCAAGTCCTTTGACCATAATTACTATTACAAGGAAAACTCCTCATACCTAAGTCTGAGGGATTACTCAGGAGAACAGAGCTGTCAACAATATATTTGGCAGTTAGTCAATGAGACCAATTTAAATCAAATGGTTTAAAAACTAGAAAGCGTATAAGAGGCTGTCTAGCCTAGCGTTTTCAACTGGGCCAATGACTTTTGTGAGGGCCTGTCCTGTGTATTACAGAATGTTTAACAGTTCCTTGCCTCAGTAGGAGCAATCTCCATTGGGGAGCAGTCTTCAGGCTGTGAATATCCAGGGAGAGAAAACTATGGTGGACATTTGCACATCCTGTCTACATCTACACATGACCCAGAGGGAAGGTTTCGCCATTTCCTTCTGAGCCCCACTCCCAAGAAGAAGGGCTCACCATTTTTTCCCTGGGTCTAAGACTATGGGGTCCTTTACATGACCATGCCTATGTCAACAACCCACATTCACTCAAGACTTCCCTCACTTAGGACTTCCTCTGCTCCCTACACTAGGGTGTGTGCTCTATACTAAGCTTCATTCCCCAGCTCTGAAACCTTTATTCTGTTTGGGGGACAACCTGCAGTTCCTGGTTAGTATGCTACTCTCAGGAAATGCAAGAGTGAACAAAACCAATGTAATTTTTTGCCCCCAGGATGCAGGATAGTAGGAATGGGGAAAATGAGATTTGAATCAGATAATAAAACTGTGTTAAAATAATGATAGGTACTACAGACAGTAATTTTTGAATGAGTCATGAGGAAAAACATTTCTTGGTGGCATGTACTGAAGTCTTAGGAATGAGTGACTGGAAAGGATGGGCAGAACCTTCGGGGGAAGTGATCTCCATATTACATATTTGAGGTCACAGTTGAAGGAAATGTATGACAAGAACAAGGAAGGAAATAATCCAGTGTATCAAGAGTGGAGGTGAGAGCTGAACCTGGGCTGACAGGTTGAGGGATGTGAAGGAAGGATGTGACCAGGTACCTGATGCCCTGAGGCCAGTTACATTAGAGTGAGCTTGCACCCAAGTCATGGCCCTGGAGATGGGGAAGTGATGACTGCCATCTTTAGGAACTAAAACTGGATAGACTTGCAGGCTGAGTGGGTTCTTTGTCGTTCTTCTCAGATTTCGACATCTAAAGGTAGAAATCTCATGTTTGTTTTTTTATAGTTCCACAGACAGTTTTTTCATTGTAAACACACACAATATTCAGGGTTAGGAACAGATCTTTGTGGCTCACCCTTGTAGATCAGCTTTCTAAGTAATGAGTATCACTATATTACAAATTTTATGAAAACTGTTGTGGAGTTCAGGAAATGGTCCAAGTGTAAACATGTTATTTTTAGTTATGAAGTAATCTTTCCTGTTATTGTCCATAGGAAAATCACCTCTTGAAGATGTATACTACCTGTGAGGTTGAATATCACCATTAGTAATAGATGTTGCCTTTTCTGGCTGCCTAAATTGTAGCGCAAGGAATACTCAGGAGTATGAGGCAAGGCAGCCTGTCTTGTCTCTTTTTTAGACAGGATCTCTTATAACCCAGAATGGCCTAACTTGACCTCCTGATCCTCCTGTCTCTCCCAGCAAGTGCTGAGAGTACAGACATGCACCCCCATACCTGGTTGAGGCTGACCTTTGACAAGCAGGATGATGCTCACATTGTCTTGTCTCTCTGTTATTTCTGGCCTTAATACAAATTCAGAGTCCTGACTTCAGGGGGCAACTTCAACTTCAGCCATTCCTCCCATTTTATTCGACCCATGTGCTCAAGGCTGTGTGGGCAGCAGAGGACTCAGCTCGTTTGTATCTCAGGGTGCCAGAGGCATGCATGGCAATGACAGTAATTGTAACTAGCTTACACTAATGCTCCTGTCTGTATATGGACACACACACACTATGAAATGTGCTAGATTTTAATCAACTAAACAGTCTTGACGTTGGACTGTGTATGTCTTTTATCTGAACAAGAACTCTGTGATCAAATGGAAGTCATTAGAAGGAATGACACATAGTAGCTTGTGGTTCTTTTGTGATGGAATTAGTTTATGTACATATTTACTGGTCATTTATTAAGAATTAAGAAAATTATCTTTGCTGTTGTTTGGGCATTGACCCTTCTATTCTCCTGCTTCAGCTCTCCGAGAGCTCGAACATAGACATGTGCTACTAGGCCAAGCTAGGAAAGCTTTTTCCTTAATAGTCCTTGGAGAAAAATAAAAATATACATATATTTAAAAACCATCCCTGGAAAAATAATAATTTTAATAATAATAATAATATAATTACTTAAAAATTAAAGGATGAAGTTAGGCAAAGTGACCCCTTTCTATAATCCCAGTACTTGGAAGGATGCAGCAAGAAAGATCATGGCAGGTTTGTGGCCAGCATGGTACACATTGTGAATTCCAAGCCAATCATATATCAAGAGCCTGTTTAAAAAAAAAAAATGCTAATGAGTGTTTCCTCCCAGTGGGATACTATCTGAAGAAAATATGTACTTGCCTATTTTTAATAGTAATGTAAGTGAATTTACCTACTTTTTTTTAAAAAAATAGACTTGCCAAGTGGTAGTGGCACATGCATTTTGAGAGGAAGAGGCAGGCAGATCTTGTGAGTTCAAGGTCAGTGTGGTCTACAGAGCGAGTTCCAGGACAGCCAGGACTATAGAGAAACCCTGTCTCAAAAAAAAAAAAAAAAAAAAAGAATGCTAGTGGGCCAGTCAGATGGGGCAGTAGTAGACAGTTACCAGTGAGTCTGACAACCTATGTAGATTCCAGTGGAAGGAGGGGACCAACTCCCAAAAGTTGTCCTCTGATCTCTATATACATGCCATAGCACATATACTCCCCCACACCCAAAATCAATAAATCCATGTTTAAATAAAAAACTTTTTGTGATTCTTATCACACAACTCTCCCAAAATCGTGCAGGGAGGTGTTCCATGCCTGTGTCATGCTAGTTTCTTGATCTTTCTTACATGGGAAATATATAGGGGCATGTGGTGTTGGCGCTCTTGGTGGTTTGATGATCATAATGGCTGACTTATTCTCTTTGGCAGAATGCCCTTCTGCCTGCAGGGTTTCGGCAAAAGAACCAGACATCAAAGTCTGCCACAGGGCCCTTCGATAGAGAACGTCTCCTTTCTTATCTAGAGAAGGAAGCATTGGAGCATAAAGACCGGGAAGACTATGTGCCCTACACTGGAGAGAAGAAAGGTGAGTCTGGGATCATTTGTTGTCATTCAGCAGCTTTGGGTTCTTTTTATGGTGGATACCCACAGAGAAAATTGTTTTTAGATGTACATAATCAACAACCTTTAAAGACACACACTGTCAGCCTAAAAGATTGCTAGGCGGTTTAGACACATTTTTATCAGCCTATCCAGTGAGATTTTTGTCTTAATTATTCATTAGTGAGGTTTTATTACACAGAGACTTTGTATAACATTACTTTACACTTCAAGTTGTTAAAACAAATTTAAAACCTCTAATTTATTGCAGTGTAAGCCATGACAAAGAAATATTCTTCCCTAACTTGTCAGTCTTTAGAGTAAAATTCCATAAAAATAATTTATACTTTTTTAAAGATACCCTTCCTTAGCTGTCTTCCTTAATATATCATAATTTTTATGATAATTAAAAATTTTAATTATTTAATAAAATAATTATATTTTTATGATAATTGTTAATGTTTCCTATGGTAACTCTGAGGAAATTTTTCTAGTCTTATCTCTTTCATATTGTAGTATATAATTCATCCATGCCTTTATATTCCTCTTCCTTAATCAGTTAGCAAGAACAACCAATACATGAAGATGTGGCTTATATTAAACTTTACTTTTCAGAGTGAAAAGTCTACCAGCTAAAGTTACAGCTCAAGAATTAGTGGCTAGCATAAATAACTTAAACGTGGGGCATACATGAAAAAACAGGAAATGAGGACTAAGAACAGGTAGTAGACTTTCACTTTAAAGACCAACTAGATGGGAAGTTCTGCAAGATGACTTAGCTTGTGTGCAGGTTATATCATAGAAGTTACAGTAAAGGCTGGAGAGATGATTCAGTGGTTAAGACTTCTTGCTGCTGTTCCAGAGGACCTGTATTCAGTTCCCAGTACCCATGTTGGACAACTGACAACTTCCTGTAGCTCTAGCTCCAAAGACTCCAACGCCCTCTTCCGGCCTCTGAGGGGAACTGCACTCACTTGTACATACCTCTCCTCCCAAATACATAATTAAAAATAAATATTTTTAAAAGTAAAATAGAGTACATAAAACAAGAACCAAATACATGAGCATATAAAGTAGGATTGTGTATATTAAGTAGATTGCTTGATATAGTAGAAGCAGTTTGTTTTTTTTAATTTGAGGGTTTCTTTTTAAAAATACATATGTGTGCTTGTATCTGTGTATGTTTTATGCACCCATGTATAAGGGTTCCTGTGAAGCCAGGAGAGTGAGTTATGTAGCTACATTTGTGAGCCACCCTATATGGGTGCTAAGACTTGGGTCCTTTGGAAGAACAGGAAGTGCTTCTAACCACCAAACCGTCTCCAGCACCTAATTTGTTTTTCCTTATCACTGCGTTCTCTCATCTATGATCTGTCCATATGTGTGGATGTATGTGTGTGGGTGGGTGGCATGTCCATGTAGAGGTGAGAGAACAATTTGAGGGAATGAGTTTTTTCTTTCTACCTTGTGGATTCCAGTAATTGAACTCAGATCATTAGATTTGGTGGAAAGCATCCTAACCTACTGAACCATGTCTCTGGCCAGTGAAAGCTATTCTTAAAATTATCCATCATCCTTGTAAGACAGCATGTAAGGAAAAATTGTGGTAGTGGGATTTTTGTTCTTTGGGGTTTTTTTGTTTGTTTGTTTTGGGTTTTGTTGTTGTTGTTGTTTTGGTTTTTCGAGACAAGGTTTCTCTGTAGCTTTGGAGCCAGTCCTGAAACTAGCTCTTGTAGACCAGGCTGGCCTCGAACTCACAGAGATTTGCCTGCCTCTGCCTCCCGAGTTCTGGGATTAAAGGCGTGCACCACCACCCGGCTTTGTTCTTTGTTTTTTGTATTTTGTTTTTTAAGGTAGTGTCTTGCTAGTCTTAGACTGGCCTGGAACTAGCTGAAGCTGACCTATCCCATGTGTAATCCTCCTGCTTCAGCCTCCCAGAGTGCTGGGATTACATGTGTGAGCCACCATATCTCACTGGGAGTTGTTTAAATGCATTCTTTTTTTTGCAGTGCAGAGATTAAGCCAGTGGTTCTCAACTTTCCTAATGTGACCCTTTAATACATGTTATGGTGACCCCAACCATAAATTTTTTGTTGTTGCAACTTCATAACTGTGATTTTACTACTGTTATGAATCATAATCTAAATATGTTTTCTGATGGTCTTTTTTTTTCTGTTCCCTGCTCCCCCCCCCCCCCCAGACGGAGTTTCTCTGTATAACAGCCTTAGCTGTCCTGGCATTCGCTCTTGTAGACCAGGCTGGTCTCAAACTCACAGAGATCCGCCTGCCTCTGCCTCACAAGTGCTGGGATTAAAAGCATGTGCCGCCACCGCCCAGCCTCTGATGGTTTTAGGCGACCCCTGTGAAAAGGTTATTTGACCTCCAAAGGGTCACAGCCCACATGTTGAGAACCTCTGGATTAAGCCCAAGAGCGTGTGCACAGTAAACAAGAATATTCCACCACTTAGCTACATTCCCCAACCCTTTAAGTCCTTTTTTTGTAGGTAGACCTACAGCATACATTTATATATCTGTTCAGTCCATCCAACTCTAGCAAGCTTCTTTAGGAACTATGATGATATTAAATAATCTTAACAGATTAATACAAATAACTTCTTTATGATTCTAAATGTTTAAAAATTAAAATTGTAAGTGTATATTTCTTTTAGTTATAGATATTACATTAAAATATGAAAAGGGCTTTTTGCCTTTTTAAACTTTTGCAAAATAGTGATGGGGATTTAGCTTAGTTAGTAGAAGCTTGCCTGTCGTGTAAGAAACCCTGGGTTCAATCCCCAACACTGCATAAACTGGGTGTGGTGCTGTAATCTGTAATCCTGACACTGAGGAAGTAGAAGCAAAAGAATCAGGTATGAGGCCAGCTTGGGCCACATGAGACTGTCTCTCAACACATACATACACACACGCAAAGTTAAAATTGCAAAATGGGTAGCTGAACATAGACAAGGATGAAGGAGAGTATTTATTTATCTAGCTTTTTCTAAAAGTGATGAACATGCACAGTGCTGACTTTGCTAAATGACTAAGTATTTCCCATCGTACTTCTACATGTCATCAATAGTCTGTCTCAGAATTAAGTAAAGCATGGAGCTGTCCTGTGAGTTTGTGCCCAGTCTTTAATATTTCTGTCTTTCATGTTTCTTTGCTGTGTGACTCCTGCTCCCTTTTGCTCATGCCATGCTTCACTCTTATCTGGACTGTTTTTTCCGTGTCCATTATTTCCATGCCATGATTGTAGTCTCCTTGTTGCAGATGGATATTTTCCATTGGATTGTTTGAACTCTGACTCATCAAGGATGGGCCCCTCCCATCCCTTGGGGAACACTCTTATTTTCCCTGTTAGTTCTTGAAGTAGAGCCTCTATACTTTATTGTTCTTTTTTATTATTATTATTCCAACTCTGAGAATGTAATATTCTTGGGTTTCTTCCCAAGAATGTCATATAATCCACTTGTTTTTTTGTTTCCTACAAGTGTCTTAAATGAATGTCTTATTAAATACATTTCAACTCACTTGGCAGTTGCCTCCGTTTTCCAGAAATCTTGTTGTGTTCTCCATTATTCTAAAAGAGACTTCCCACATCTTGTTGAGTATATGACTTCTTTGGGAGTCCTTTTGACTCTTGAGGAAGTCAGAAAGATGTAGTTAGATGCCTTTATAGCTCTATGTATAGGTTTTGGTGTCTGAAGTATCAGAGACTTAAACTCCCATTTTATTTGTTTTGTTTTATTTGGAGGTAGGACTGTATCATTTCATACTTGTTCCAGAGATTATCTTTCCTGGTGTAGTCATTGTTTATATTTTCCTATGGTGTAAAAAATTAATTTCAATTTTAAAATTCCAGTCTGGATTTTGTTTAACAAGAAAATTAAAGTTAGTCAGGTAGAGAGCACTTGCATTCAGATGTACATTGCCACAAGCACACACTCTCTCTCTCTCACACACACACGTAATTAAAAATAAAATAGTATCTAAAACTCATATTTTATTAGTAAGACTATGTTAAAGAAAATTCCTGTGCCATAAAAATCTCCCCATTTAAGTAGGTAACTCAGTAATGTTGATCATATTCATAGAATTGTCAACAATCCCCCACAATCTTTAGTCTAGAACAATCTTTAGTCTTCATCATGCCCCAAAGAAACCTTGTATTCATGTAATCAGTCACTCTACCACATTCCCATTCTACTCCACAGCCGTAGGCAACCACTAACTTACTTTCTGACTTGTAAATTGTTTGTTCTGGACACCACCCATCAGTAGATTATACAATATGATCTGATGAATGCCTTCTCTCACTTAGCGTGTACACTCTACAACAGACCTACATTCCCAATCCTCCATTCCTTTTAATAGTAGAATCATATTCTATTATATTTTGTTCTCTGGCATTGGGTTGTTTCTGAATTGTAGTTGTGGATATGATGCAATGAATATTGTGTACAAATGGTTGTTGTTGCTTTTGGTTTTTTGCTTTTTAAGATATGTGCTGTGGCCCAGGCTGACCCCAAACTTCTTTGAATCCTCCTATCTTAGTCTTCAAGTATGAGCCATTACACCCAGCTTTCTGGTTTGTTTAGAATTAATACTTGTGATGGGGGAGGGGTATCCAACTTCATGGGGTTTTGCACGTGATTGTCTAGTTATCTACTGATCTTTCTCAATTGAATTGTCTTTGTGTCCTTGTAGATTAAACCAATTGCCCAACTATAAGAGTTTACTTAAAGATCTATTCCATTGATCTAAATATCTTTTCTTCTACACAATACTAACTTAATTATAGTAGGCTCATATTAAATCTTCAGTTGGTCCCGTGTAAGTTCTCTGATGTTGTTGCTTTTTAAGGTGACATGGCTGTTCTGACTTATTTAGGTTTCTATATGGCTATTCTGGCTTATGTATTTTTCCATATGAGTCAGATCAGCCTGTCACTTCATGTAAAGTATCCATTTAGGATTTTGAAAA